CAGCCCGATTCGTAACCACTACGCTACCAGAGTTTTGATAAATAGAAGAAGAAAATTTGTGTCCAAGAGATTAAGTAACTTATCAAAACTCGAAAGTGCTGGGGTAGGAGTAGAGTTTCCTTTTAAACTCCTAGTCTAATGCCATGTCTAATAGACTGCAGTCCCTATACTATCTAAAGAGTAAAAGTTGGAGAGAGGTATAAAGAAGCCAAATAAAAAATTTAGATCTTTTGGTATTTGAGTAGATATCTGCTCATGTACTTGCAAAAAAAAAAAAAAAATTAAAAAAAAAAAAAAAATAGGGGAAAAATTGTAGCATACATAAGGGCATTTGTGAGGAATTTTAAATATTTGTTTTAAGAATAAAAGAACAGTATAAGAGCACTGAGAATGACATGGAAATACGCACTTAGGAGAGAAACATAAGTTAGGAAGTAGTCTCTTTCCCCAAATCCCATATATTTGATCCTTTTTAATCAATAGATATTTTTGTATTGCTAGTGAAAATTAAGGCCTGATTCTTCATCAGGGAGTTGCTAATTGCAAGAAAATTGCTTTTTTCCAGGACTTCGAACCAACTAGAACTGGGTCAGTAATGGCCAAATTGGAAGAGGTCTGCAGTTTTATAATTTGGGTGAAGCAGTTCGATAACTGGAATGGGAAAAAAGATGGAAGTCCTGAAATGGGAGACTAAGAAGAGGCATAGCGAGAGCCTTTTCAGGAGCGAATGTGGGAGATTGGATTTTGTGGATTGTGGAGAGGGGACACGCATCCAAAGTAGCACAAAATGTGGCACAGTCTGCCATCATCTTTAAGCAGGGCACTATTATTCCTGACTCTGCTGGTTAAGTGATTTGGTTGCTATGCAAATTGCCCTTGTTTTCTAAGGAGATTACGTTTGTAATAGGGTGCAAACCTGTACTTTTTCCCATTCTGGCTAGTGTTCTGGTGTACCCACATTTTGCACATTCAGGTACATTCTGTTTTTTCTTTGTTGACCATGACTGAACTGGGAAGAACTGGTTTGAAGCCAAGCCTCCTTTTTTTTTTTCCGAATCACTTTTGGTTTGATCTCTTATGAATTTTTAGTTTCTATCTTCATCTCCATCCTATTCTTTTGCTTTGTACAATGTAATAGTTTAGAATATATAATTAATGTAAACAGACACATTTATGAAACACATTATGAAAGCAATTAGATAATACCTTGTTTTTAATGTGTATATACAGAAAGATTTTCTATCTCTGGATGAAACTGATCCATCTACTCTGGGAGTTTCTCTTCCTATTGATGAGAGGTTATCAGCCAAGGTAGGTGGATAGGAGTAGTTTTTGTGGGTAACAATTTTCTGAGACATCGTAATTATAATAGAACATATTCCCAATTGAATACTTCATTTCTTCACACTTGAATATATTTCTTTTTTAAAAATCTGGGGTCTCTACTTTTGCTGTTTAAAAAAGGAATTGACATTGTATTTGTAATCATGTAATATGATAAATGCATTTAATATGTTCATTCTTTGGCTGTATTCTGCTTTACTTAATTGAATATTCACAATTTTTTTCAGCATTGGTTTCTGACCTATGAAGTTTATGCTGTGATTTATCAGTGAGACGAATGGAAGTGAGAGTAGACTGAGTTTTTATGTGGGGTGAGAATTGAGTGTTTTCATTGACCCATAGTACATGTCCATACCCTTTAGAGGTTGCAGTAAAGCACTCATTCTACACCTCTTGTAGAGATCCAATTCCCAAGGTAGATCAGAGATCATGAGATAGTATGTAAGACAAAATGGACAGTTAATAAGTTTCAAAAGACAAAATATATATTTTTAGATTGTATTGTTTCAATAATGTTGGAGCCATTAGGGTCTAAGAACATTTCCTAATTTAATAGACTTTTGTTTCAGCAGAACTTTTCCATTTTAGTGTAAGAAAATTTTATCTTTCCATGTTTAAAATGTAAAGAGGATCTATCATCTTTTAGCATTGAGAAGGAAAGGGTTAGCAGCAAGTCTGTATTCTATTCTATCCTTTTTAAGAGTAGGGTGGGATATTGAGAAGGCTGGAAGGTAATAGAGTCCATGTTGTTATTGTTGAGTGCCATTGAGTCGGTTCCGACTCAAAGAGACCCTGTGAGTTTGAACCGCCAACCTTGAATAGAGTCCATACTTCCTGTAAGGAGGCTAATGACAGGTCTCCTGTCAAATGCATTAAGGGTATTAACTAGTAGCAGACATCCATAGATAGGAATCTGTTTGCAGCTTTTATGTTGTTTGTCTAGAATTATTATGGTAGACCAATCAAGAATCCATGGATTTATGGGGTATACCCACTACCATCCAGTTGATTCCGACTCATACAGTAACCCTATAGGACAGAGCTTAACTGCTCCAAATAGTCTATGCGACTGTAAATCTTTCTGGGAGCAGACAGCCTTTTCTTTCTCCTGCAGGGTGACTGCTGGGTTTGAGCCGCCAGCCTTGAAGTTAGCAGCCCAAAACATTACCCAGTGCATCACCAGGGCTCCTTGTATGTGGGACATGGCTTCTTGGAAAATACCATCTAAGCTATGTAACTCTGAAGTATTTATGGAGCTGCAGAACAACCAAATCAGATCCTTCTTTTAGAGACATCATTTGTTCATCCGGAACAAAGTGTATGGTGGTGGTGGTTATGTGCCGTGGAGTCAGTTCTAGGGTTTCAGAAGCTGTAAATCTTTGTGGGAGCAGAAAGCCTCATCTTTTTCCCACGGAACAGCAGGTAGTTTCAAAATGCTGAACTTGTGATTCACAGCCTGATTCGGTACCACTATGCTACCAGAGCTCCTTGGAACAAAGTGTATAGTAATGTATATTTTAAGGGGGCCCTGCTGTGGTGCTGTAGGATAAGCACTGGACTGGTAACTGTAAGGTCATTGGTTCAAGTCTACCAGTTGCTCCTTGGAAACCCTTTTACAGAGTTGTAACACTTACCAACAATGTGTCAAGAAAGGACCTGGGTGCCTGCATTGGTCGTCTTAGACATCTATCTGCTATTCACGTACGTTATAATTACTTCTGTCTGTGAAATGGTTTGTAAAGCTTGCTACTTAACTGGGTAAGCGGTCTCATTTGTGTGAGTCAGATGCAGCATTCTGTTTGTTTATCAGGTTCTTTTTCTGTTAGTTGAAGATAACATTGCCTTTTGATTTCTGTTTTAAGGAAAGATTGAAACTTGAACGTAATAAAGAATACAATCAGTTTCTCAGGGATAAGGAAGAATCCAATGAAAAATTCAGACAGGTAGAAAAGAGTACTGAGGTAGGTTTGTATTTAGGTAAAAACCTTAATGCCACAAACTTAACAATGTGTACTTCACTTACAATGGTTTTGTTTTTTGTTTTTGTTTTTTTTTTTTAATATTTTAGGTATTTCTTTAGTTTTTTATATAAATTTTAAAAATTAAGCCAAATTAAAATTTTAAAAGGACATAAAATTTTGGAAACTCTTCCTTTTCATGTTGAAGAACTTACTGTACTTTATAACTTTATTGTTGTTGTTGTTTTTAAGTGCTGTCTAGTCTGTTCCAACCCATAGCAATCCTGTATAGGGTTTCAAAGGAGCCACTGGTGAGCTTGAACCACTAACCTTACAGTTCAAACCAATATTGCATTCCAATGTATTAGCCTGCAGCACCACACCATTGTTGGAGAGCTTTAATTTTAGAGATTGGCTTTATTAAGTGATTTTAATTGATAATTTCTAGCTTTATTTTCTACTCCATCTTAAGGGTGATTAACGTTACTAGGAGCAAAACATTTACTATGGTCTTTGTCTTTTTGTTGATAAAAGAATATAATTTGAAATATTTTGAAGCAATATGCAACTACCAAAATACACTTAATATTTCTTGAGATAAGGTTTTGCATTTAGTTTATTCTGTCTTTTTATAGCTACTTACCCATATTACTATTTTCTTGTCTGTTTGATATTAAATTTTATTGAAGAATGAAATTTTATTTCTTAAATGAAATTTAATTTCTTTAGTAAATGAAATTTACAAAAGATATAACTTTTCTTAAGGATAATTAAGTACCAGAGTAGAGATGATAGATAACTGCACCCTCAAATAATGTATAGTTTATCTCTGAAAAAGAATAGTATCTCATTGAGATCTGTCCCCCCCCCACTTTTTCCTTTTTAAATGGAACAGCCTAAGAGTGAAAGAAATACAAAATGTATCTGTCAAGTTAAGCCTGATATACCTTCACAAATACAAACATCCTGCAAAAATTCAGAAGGTCCTAGGAGAGATGTCTTAACTCCTTCAGAGGCATATGAAGAGCTTCTAAACCAAAGGCGGCTGGAGGAGGACCGGTATCGACAACTCTATGATGAAATTGAATTAAGGAATAGAAGAATTATTAAAAAAACTAATGACGAAGTGGGCAGTTCCAATAGAAAACATCAGAGATTTGCCAACAAGTCTGAGATTCCAGATAGACGATTGCACAAGTTTAATGAAGATCATGTTTTTGATAGACCGTATTACAGACCAGACCATGATCCCGAAGTAAGTGAAGAAATGGACGAGAGGTTTAGATATGAAAGTGATTTTGATAGAAGACCATTGAGAGTATATACAAATGACAGGTATTTTCTTCATTTTTATTTCCTTATTTGTATAATGTTGTTACTGTTATTTTTTGTAATTATATTAGGGAGAAATAGCTCTATTTAATTTGCCATGCTTGATTACTTCCTTAGATGCAGTTTTAAGATAGACCATAATTTTTATGTGCCACTCAGGGGAAGGGAAAAAAACCCATGCAACTCACACACGATGGTAATCTAAAAAGGGTCCCCTTACAAAACTGGGATACTGAAAAACTATACTTTTTGTGTGAAAGTATGTGAGAAACAAACTTCCCTTTCTAGAAAGGAAGCTTTAATGTCTCCACCTTCGTGCTCAGTTGAGTCAGTTAAAAAAACACACAAAAACCTTCCGTGAGAATTTGGAACAAAAGCCAGTACTGATTCAGGTTCACAGTCTGAGTTCATGCTGTGAAGTGTTCAAAGAAAGATATCCTCCCTTGAGGTGAGAATTCAGAGTTGTCACAAATTTATAGTATCCCTGGCACAAGTCAAGTAAACTCTTTAAACTCAGATCAAATAGCACCCCAATTTTAGGATATTGGGTAAAAAGAGACATATTGGAGTAGGTAAAAATCGGTTGCTTCTTTTAATGTTTGCATGTCTTAAAAACCTTTGTGAAATATGTTGGTTAATTTTGAAGCTATTTACTGAAAATCGTATTTAACTGAGATGATTTAAGTTTTTTGGATGAGATTTGTAAATGCTTTTCAGCCTATCTGGATGATTGTTTTTATACTATTTGTGATTTCTTAGCTGCTGCAATTGGGTCTTTTTAAGTCCTATTTGTCTCCATACTTAAAGCTTGCAATATTTTTAACCTAACTTAATTTAATGCTAAAAATAGGGCCCCATTTAAGCCATTGATTTGTTAACGTGAAAGGTTTAAATATAAATTTTGAGCAGTCTGTTGGTTGGTTATGTGCTGTAGAGTCGGTTCTGATTCATAGCGACCTTGTACAGGGTTTCCAAGGCTGTAAATCTTTACAGGAGCAGAAAGCCTCATCTTTTCTCCTGTGAAACAGCTGGTAGTTTCAAAATGCTGACCTTGAGGTTAGCAGCCTGACTCGTAGCCACTACGATACCAGAGCTCCTTATAGGAGCAGTTTATTTTTCATTTATTGGTCCAAAGAGATTGATTGTTTAGTATTTTAGAAAAATTTCTGAGGAGTAATTCTGCACATTCACCATACTAGTCATTAATAACAAATGCACTTTTACGACTCTTTATCTTCTCTTTCGGCTGCAGCAGTTCAGTCCTGCTCAGCACCCAACCTTTCAAATAAGTTTAGGTAATGTAACTAAAGGATTCAAATTTTGGAATGCCAATTCTAGTTACTGTGATCTAAATCTTATTGTACTCAGAAAAGACTTCAAATCCTAAAATGTGCTGTATTTGAAAATATATTTTAACCATGTGCGGTGGTAGTCAAAGACTGCCTAAGTTAAAAGAGCTCTTATTTGGGGAAACCAGAGGTTATGTTGAACTCTTAGTAAGACACAACTTTTTGTATTCAACTTCTTTGTACACAACTTTTGCTTCATTACAGTGTCTGTTTAGCTTTTAGGTTAGGAGTTTTAAGAGACATAGAGTGTTTGTTATTTTTAAAAATATATTTTAATCTATTATTTTTATAATTATACATTCTGATCATTTTGTACATAAACTAGGAGATGAATTTCTTCCTCATTATTTGAGAATTATTTTTTTTCATATCCCACAGTAAGTGAAGCAAATTCTTGCTATATAATCTCTCCAAGTAAGGAGCTCTGGTAGCGTAGTGGTTATGAATCGGGCTGTGAACCGCAAGGTCAGCAGTTTGAAACTACCAGCTGCTCTGCGGGAGAATGATGAGGCTTTCTGCTCCCGTAAAGATTTACAGCCTCAGAAACCCTGTGCAGGGTCATTATGGGTCGGAACCGACTCGACGGCACTTAACGACAACAACAACAATCTCTCCAAGTAGTATTTTTAAAAATAAATAGGATGAATAAGAATAAATTTTGTTCGACAATGAAAAGTTTTTAGAATGTTTTAGTATGTTACTCCCTTTTTGTTGATGCATATGTTCTTACCTCATTTCACATATGTTTCTGTGGCAATTAAGGTTAACATTGGATTCCGAAATCTCATAGATTCCTTATTTCTAACAAAGAAACAAAATGTTTCCTATAGATCGTTGGCAAGTCAGTTTCATGAGCAGTATAGTTGGTGGGTAAAATGTGACTCTAGTTGTTAGTGAAATGTGCATCTGCATTTGATCTCTTACTGCATGTGTTTCCTGCTTCTGATAACATGGTAAATTTACCAGAAGTTCAGGACTAAGATTAACTAACTGATTAATTTTCCTTTCCTTTTCTACATTTCCCTGCACTCCATTTTTTTATTCTTTAAAATTCAGCACCTGATAATTCTTGTTTTGGTTTATAGTAGTTCTTGATTTTTATATAAATCTCAGTTCCTCTCGTATTACCCTGTAAACCTGTTATATACCATAATTTATTTATTAGTAAAATATTTTTCCCACTTTAAAGGTGGGAAAACTGAAGCCCAGAACTGATGCGTGATTTCACCTTCCTAAGCTCATTATCCTGAATCCCTGGCAGTGTTCTTTAATAGATAACAAGGTGGTTAGCACTGTGTTTGCCATTTGTATTTTCTGTGTGTCTTTATTTATATTTACATAGCTACTGTCTTGGAGTAAAATTTATAGTGTTTTAGGAGTTTTGTAAAGTTGAATGTAATAGTATGTCTTACAAGATTTTGAAATTTATAGACTCTTTTTGAATATAGTTGCCCTGGTGTTTATTATTTATTAACTTGAGTTGTAGAAGTTAATATATTATCTTACTGTGTTTTACTTTTAACTGATGTTAATCAGTAACAGACATTTTTAGCATCAAAAGTCCTGCCTTTTAGTTTGTATGTGATTATTTCCCTTCTACTTAACTTTATATATTTGCTAGCTTAAAATTTTAAGGGTCATTTAATAAATTCTGAAATAACACTCCATCTGAAATTAGCATTTGTGCTAGCCTCATAGAGCTAGTGTTTATTTTAAACATAGGCTACTCTGCTAAAAATGCTGCAGGGGTCATAAGCAGTAAATGAGGAGAAATGGCTTATTAGAATATAAATCATTTAGTTTGTTATTCCTTTTGGTGCTATAGGATAAGTACTGGGCTACTAACTACAAAGTTGGTGGTTTTACCCCACTGTACGGGGTCACTATGAGTTGGAACAGACTTGACAGCACTTAACAACATCAGTAATTAATCAATTTCCATGTATCTTTGAAAGAGTCCTTTTAATATTAACCATTTTCTTAATGTTTAAATGGAGTTGATAATAGAAAAACATCATCATTGAATTAAGGTACATCATTGAATTAAGGTAAACTAGTAAAAAATGGGGGAAAAACTGAAAACTGGTAGAAAATGGTTACCAGTAGTTAAGACCGCAGTGCTTTCTTTGACATCTAAAATGAGGGTACCTTTAATATCGGAAGTCATTTACAATTGAAAAGTTCTTGATAGAAGAAGGGAATATAACTATTATCATTATCAATTTGATAGTTTCTTTTAAGTAAGGATAAATTTAGCTCTTTCTCCCAGTGAGCCTATATTAACAGAAGACTAATGTCCTGGTGGAGCCCTGGTGCCGTGCTGTATGTAGGACAAGCATTGGACCTAAAGGTTGAACAGCAAGGCTGGAGGTTCAAACTTGCCAACCACTCTTTGGAAACCCTATAGAGGGTTGCTATGAGTCGGAATTGGCTTCATGGCACTTAATACCAACAACAGATGCTCTAGTGTGGGGAGTGCAGTTGCTTTGTGCGATAAGCACTAGATTGGGAACCACAAGGTCTGCAGTTCGAGCCCACCAGCGTCTCACAGGAGAAAGACGAGACTTTCTGCTCCCACAAATATATACAACTTCAGAAACTCTATACAGGGTTGTCATGAGACAGAACAGGCTCAGCAACATTTAACAACAATAATGTCCTGATTTGACGCTGTAGGATAAGCACTGGACAGCTAACCACAAGGTTGGTGGTTCAAACCCACCAGCCACTCCTCAGAAACCCTATACAGGATCGCTGTGAGTTGGAACCCACACAAAATCACTTAACAGCAACAGCAGCAACGTCCTGGTGTGGCGCTGTAAGTTAAGTACTGGACTGCTACCCGCAAGGTCAGTGGTTCAAACCCACCAGTCGCTCCTTGGAAACTATTACAGGGTTACTTTGAGTCAGAATGGACTCCATGGCACTTGATAACAGCAACAACAATGTATGGTAAGGAGCTCTGATGGCACAGTGGGCTAAGCATTGGATTGCTAACCTTAAGGTCAGTGGTTTGAACCTTTGAGCTGCTCTACAGGAGAGCGATGAAGCTGCCTGTTCCCATAAAGATTTACAGCCTCAGAAACCCTAAGGAGCAGTTCTGTAGGGTCGATATGAGTTGGAATCCACTAGATGTAGTGGATTGTTTATATAGCTACCACTGCCAAGCTTAACAAAATTCCTGACTCCAGAAGCAAAGCAGTTGTTCAGCACAAACTACATTGTGTACACAGATAGCTGAGTTGTGGTGAACAAGTCTTATAATGATGGTGGGAAAGCCCTCTTCTCTTCCCGAACCCCAAATTGAAGTTCTCAGCAGGCCTTTGTAAGGATAGGTAGTCTCAGAGCTGCTATGTTAACTTTTGGTGCATGTACATATTTACATAGATCTAGCATCTCTAGATCTGGTTGCCAGGCATTGTTAGTGGTAAACCTGAATATTTACCTGTTCCTTAAGTGGTGAAAATAGAGATTGACACTAAACTAATATTCAAGAGAAATTTGAATGCTTAGGTTTTAGTGTAAAACCAGCTGCATTTTTAGAAATGGAAATTCTTTTTTTGAAAGGGCTTATGGAGAGAGTTGTATAGTTTAGTTACAGATGAAAGAAGGAAGCCATTTATGTGTCACTCCAAGCCTTAAACTAAGGTTAAAATTCTGTACAGACGTTTTCCTCCACAGATGGTCTTGACACAGTGGCTTGTGTAGTGGAGACACGCAAGAGCATTTCACCTGCTGCTCATGTGGAGAGCAAGATGATTCTTACCTTTGAAAATTTGCAATTTTTCTTAATCTAATGAAATTCACCTGAAATATTGAATAATTCTTTTAACAACCATATTTCTTTTTTGTAGCCCTTGAGAAAGATGTTATGAAGTTTGTGAAGTTGACAGCTGAGTAATGCTGTGATTTAGGAAATGGTGATTTTCATGGACACTGATAGGTTTAAAACATTCGTTGATTTCTCTTATTTGAGAAATTAAGCTAAAGAAATCAATGTTTGCCAAATGGAAAAAAATTAAAAAAATCCTGACTAGTTAAATGAAAAACCTTTTTTTTTTTTTTTTTTTTATAATTTTTTGTCTGCACCAGGTAGTCAGAAAAAGGAAGACATTATTGTTTTCTAAAAAAGATTTAAAGGGAAAATTTAAATATTTGAATCTTGGTTGTCATTGATTAAAATGAATTGATCATTTTCTACCCTTGCTGAAATCACCATATTTGTTTATAGTGGTTTTCATTAATTTTTTTGCTCATGTTTATTTTCTTTCATGTGATCCACAGTGTTACAGGTGTTGTCGTTTGCTACATTTGGTTTAATTTAATGGTAAGATTGCTGCTATATATCTCAGTTTAAAAGGCATGCATATGTAGTGAAATAACTCATAGGATCTATGAATTTGTATTTCAAACAGTGATCTCACTTGGAATTTGACTGTAATCTCTGTGAGGGTAGGCACCGTGTTTGCTGCACTTAATGCTGGACAGCCAGTGCCTGGAGTAGGACTGGTGTGCACAGTAGGTGTTCCATAAATACCCCATAAATTCATATGAAAGTCTTTGTATATGCATGGGTTTGAAAAGATACATTTCTAAAATTTATAATGAAAATGTTGTAAGAAGCTCCTTGTTTTAAAGACTTCAATCTTAATTTTTATTCTTTCATTAAGTAGCCGAGCATTTTTGAATGAAACTCCATTTGAATCAATTCTAAAATGTTTCACAATAAAAGTTCATTATGATACTTTGTTCTTGATATGTCCAACAATGCCAAATATAAAAACATGAAAGAGACAAAAGAAGGCCTACTGTGTATCTAGTATGCTTTATAAGCTAATGTGTTTTTAAGGCTACATGGGAACAGACGAGGGAATGTGCCTTCTATGGAGTATGATGGTGATTTCACAGAACGATCAAACATACGAATTTCATCTGCTGGAAATAACAGGTATAGTATGTAACAGAGGTTTTGCCTTTCACTTTTTATACTCTGGATCCTGCCTAAAATGTCATACTCAAAAAGTGGAATGACATAATATATTAGCAGCTTTCCTTTATTAGTGAGAAAGGCAGAAAAAAGCAGGAGGTATGGTGATGGTGTCCCGTGGAGTCAGCTCCGACTCATAGCGACCCTGTATAGGGTTTCTCAGGCTATAAATCTTTATGGGAGCAGAAAGCCTCCTCTTTCTCCCGCAGAACGGCTGATTGTTTCAGATTGCTGACCTTGAGATTAACAGCCTGACTCGTAACCACTGTACTACCAGAGCTCCTTAGCAGGAGGTATTGTGATGGTTGTTGTTGGTGTGCTGGGGAGTCGGTTCCGACTCATAGCAACCCTGTATAGGGTTTCCGAGGCAGTAAATCTTTACGGGAGCAGAAAGCCTCCTGTTTCTCCTGGTAGTTTCGAATTGCTTACCTTGAGGCTAGTAACCAGACTTGTAACCACTACGCGACCAGAGCTCCTTTGTTGTTGTTAAGTGCCATCAAGTCAACTCCAACCCATAGTGACCCTGTGTAGGGTTTCCAAGGAGCCGCTGGTAAGCTTGAACTGTCGACCTTGCAGTTCAAACGACTTTGTAGTCGGACTCAGTAACCCACAGCACCACACCAGAGCTCCTTTAGCAAGGGGTATACTAAATGAGTATTTATAGTACTTTACCACATTCATTTGATGGTAGCAAGTTCTAGTTAACACACATAATAATAGGATGTTCTGAATAAGTCCTTATCATTGTAAGTATATAAAATTGAACTAGTAAAAGGAGAAATAAGCCTACATTTAATGGATTAAAAAATTTTTTTGTAGTTCTGGGTCTATACAGATTTTTTGACAAAATAAATAGAAAATATTTCTACCTTGTGAATTTTCCTTTCAAAATTTTGATTTTGGTTTTTGGCTTATTGAAGAGCTAACCTTTTGCTTACTGCATGGAAATAATGCTCCTGTTCCTTTCTGCCATGTGAGAAAAGATACTCGTATTCTGTAGTGTAATATTTTTTTACTTAATAGTTTTTAGTTTTTTTGATGACTTTACTATGTCACACAGTGGATTAGTGGTTTTGAATCTCCAGCAGATAATTAAAGATAATATTGTCACATGTCAGGAAATACGCCAGCTTTCTTTGAAGAACAGTAGTATGTAAGTAGCGGCTGAGATAAGACAATTTGCTTTTAGCTTAATTAATTGAGTTTTCTTTAAAGGAGACTTTGCAAGAGTCTTTTAGAGATGGAGTGTTTTCCAAGCATGTACAAAGGAACTGCGTTTCTCTTATCTTGTATGATTTACTGATGTGTACTTAAACATTAATTTTCCTTGCTTGGGCAACTGTTACTATGGCAAAGGATTTTATTTGAGAACCTGTGGAGAGCCAGTGAAGCAGACTGAAGAAAAAGCCTATAATACTATAGACTCTGAGTGCATTGCACCCCCACTAACTACAAAACTTAAAATGCCAGGATTTTACCTCAAGTTTAACAGTATTCAGCAGTTTATAGTGTCCATTGTACACTGGAAGGCCAGTAACTCATATCTACATTTTACTGTAAATTTTTGCTTCCTGAAAAGTTATTTGGGTCCTAATTCTTTTTTGTCTTTTTTTAGTGCTCGAGACAATGTTATTAATGAACGATCCAAATCTGCTAATGCTCACGATATCTGTAGCCCGTTTGCAGGGATGGTCTTTGGTATGTAGAAAACCTCCAATTGATTTGATTTTTATAGAGTTTTGTAAAAGGTCTTTAGTGAGGACTCAGTGTTGTAGTTATTAATTCTACGTTTACTACTACTAGAAGACATTCATTGAGTGCTCACTTTATGCTAGGTACTATGCTAAGCATTTAACATGCGTTATAGTTCCATGTGGAGTCCTAGTGTGGCACTGCAGGTTAATGTGCTGGACTGTAAGGTATGTTTGAATCTCAAGCTTTCCAGCTGCTCCTTGGAAACCCTTTACAGGATCACTTTGAGCTGGAACCGACTCTATGACACTGAACAACAACAGAGTTACATGTATAACTTTAAAGTGAAATAACTTATTAATGAACTTTCTGTAAATAGAAAGTGAAATATTAGTTTTAGTGATAAACTTTTGAAATGCTGTTTTATCAACACTCTGTTCTGTGAGTGTTTCCTATATTGTTTTATATGTGATAGTTTTTCTGGTTCATGCTTCACTAGCTAGACCATAACTCCATTACATTTCAGGTAACTTGCTTTGCACTAAATCTCTTTATTTTCCTTCTCACCGGCTAGAGGTGAAAGTCAGGTTGTCCCATATCTCCTTGGGTTGAGTTTTTTTTTTGTTTTTCTTTAAAGTTTTTATTGTGAATTATGTGGGTTTACATGGGAGAATGTTAGTTTTACATTCATCCTATCGTATTTTGTTTCATTGAAATGATCACAATCCTCTCCATGCATCATCAAACAACCAAAGAGTATACCTCACAGGCCTGCCCCTCCCCCTGGCCCCTCTCCCTCCTGAGTC